ACTGTGTGATGATTGAGGCAGGGAGGAGCAGGAGAGAAGTAAACATTTGCGCAATTAAAAGGAAAGCAATACAGGCAAAGAAGTAGAGACGGAAGAAGGGAGAAGGGAGTGAATATTAAACAATTTATGCAAAATTTGGGTTGAAAGAGATATCTAAACCTCGAGAAGGAAGTATCAAAGCAACAAAAGTTGATAATAATAATTTGCAATTCGTTTACTGCCATCCATCCCAATGAACTTTGCCATTTTTCTCGCCGAAAAATAGCCTTGACAGAGAGCTTCATCGGTGAGCAAACACAGGAATCCGCGAGTCCTATCAGTCAGTCGCCAAGGCCAGCCAATACCAGACACTCAGCACCAAAGCCCGAGGGCTGGTCTCGAACCCTGTAGCCTTACAGAGGAGCAGGCAACTCACGCGGTTGACAGAGTCTCCGTCCGCTGCTATGACGCCCTCCACGCACTCGTCGATGTCGACGCAAGAATGTCCGTCCACTGACAGTCGATATCCGGCCCAACAGGCACAGGTGAAGAACGGAACCGTGTTCTCGCAGATGTGCTCACAGCTGTTGAGTTGGGTAGAACTGCATTCGTCGATATCTAAAGAGAAGAAAACACACTCTTAGTTACATAAACTCTATAGTTTCTACATTTTCCAAAATAACTCATTACCACTCGATAACAGAATTTCCACCTGAGACCTCTAGACGGCCTTCAAACGCCTACAGGGCCGAGTGTTGTCTTGGAAAAATCTTTTATTTTTATTTTTTGGCTGAAGTGACTGTGTAGGTTAATACTAATCTTAATGCTATTTAACTTCTTTATCGATAGGGTAGAGTACGCGTTTAAAGTAATCCTCTTCATTCGCATTCATAAGCACTTACGATGGTGTGTGCAAAACACTGCATATATATAAATATAAATGTATGTATAAGAATAAATAAATCAAATATATAGTATAATATATCTAATATATTTAAAATGTAATTATGTATATGTAAACTCATAATTAAAAAGATAAATAGATAAATAAATGAATCAATCGATGCATCGTTAGGGCACACCATTAAAGAAATTATCTAATTCATACTCAGACGCAGTTACATTTGGTGCACAGGATACTGCCTATATATAAATGAAGAATAAATAAATAAAAGCATATCAACATTAAACGATAACAATACAATAAATTATAAATGTAATCGTACATAGGAAAAATAATAATGTATAAATAGAAATATAAACATAAAAATATGTATATAAATACACGCATTCACAAGCGCATATTTCGTTGAGTTTTCATTTAATTATGCGTATAATATACAGCATAACATATATATAACTATAAATAAATTAATAAATATTATTATTCATATTTAAACAAATAATTTATAAGCATAAATACACATAAAAATATACAATTATAAAGACACGCATCACACCCGCCGATCTCGATATTTATCTTCAAATCTGCAAGCTCTAATAAGAGCTCGAAAATAGGGGGCATATTGGCCCCATACTCAAGCTTACCTCGGCAATAATATCCCGAATTAACGCGAGATTCCGAGCCGATCCTTGTGGGGGATCGGCGCGTGACGCGCGTCTTCTCAAAGCCTTGAGGACACGTGTCGGCCTGCAATTCGGAGGGTGAAATCACGACGCCGTCCACGAGGAAGCGCACCTCACGGCTGGGAACATCGGCGTGGACTCGAGCCGTGGCGATGCTCATTTCTTGCACTAGCAGGTTCTGTCGGCGCAAATGACCGGATGGAACGAGTGACGAGGGCCAGCCCGTGTTGGAGCTGGCTGTTGAAGAGGATGAGAATCGGTTGCCTCTTAACGACGACACCTCCTGGTCTCCTGGCAAAACGTGGATGCGCGCAGTCCATGCATAAGGCTCCAATCTGCTCTGCCGTGAGCCGTCCTTGTCCCAGTCGAGGATGCGGAAGGTCCGAGATGATTCGGCATGCAACTGACCTAAAAAGAGGAAAGGGAAGGATGCGTTGAAAAAGAGTGCT